GAGCGTCCAAAGATGGAAGGGTTTCAAGGCAAACAATGCCATCAACCTGACCAGTCACTCCATTAACAAGTGCATATAGTGTATTACTATTATCAATATGTGACTGTGTGGACGCCTGGCGCTTTACAGTTGCTACTCGCCGTCTCGATCGTCTCTTCGAGACCTTACACCCCTTAGGGGTCGGGACGGTTTTGTCCACATGGTTACTACCGACCATAGTACGCTCTATACGAGAGCTTATGTCTTGACCTACATCCGGTGAAGTGTTACATAACTCGAACACTTTGCCAAGTGGATTTAAACGTGCCACTCCACGTGTGTTATGCAGGTCTAGCCCTAAATTTAACAGCGTCTTGCTGACAATGTCATTACCGACATTAGGTGTGGTGCCCTCACGGCCGCCCACACTATACGGCGTATCGCCAACAATAATATTACCGACGTTAAGCGTGGTGCCTTCACGTCCGCCCACACTATATGGCATATCGCCAACAATATCATTACTGACATTAGGTGTGGTGCCCTCAAGGCCGCCGACACTATACGGCGTATCGCCAACAACGTCATTACCAACGTTAAGTGTGGTTCCTTCACGGCCGTCCACACTAAATGGCATATGGCCAACAATGTCATTGCCGACATGAAGTGCGTTGCTCTCACGGCCGACCGCACTCGGTGTAGTTTCACGTGCCACCATACACACATCAAAGGAATCACATCCTTGATCACTCGGACCTAGGCCAACCATGCTTTCAGCATGCGGTGACTCGTTATCAAAACGAGTAACACTGAACGGAGTACGTGCCGTTTCACTAAATTTAGACGAGCTATGCTCGAAACTTATGTTGGTAACATTGGAGTTCTATAAATCAGACATTCCAATATCCAGCACATTGACATCTTCAGTTAAAGGCTCGCGCCAGTAGTGCTTCTGTTGCCTAGCGATGGTGGGTTCATGACTCTTCAAAACTTCGCTTGGAACATTGCGCGTACCGCCTAAGGTCTTAGACATCCAATCAGTCCACGGCTCATGGCGTTCAAGCCAAGCCATTCCTAGGATGAGATCACATCTCGAGTCCAAATCTAGGACAAGCCAGCGCTCAATACTGTCAAAGTCTAAAAACTTTATACCTAAGTTCAGTGGAACTTTAGGCACAGTAGCACGACTTCCAGTCGCTAAACGAACTGTGATGGAATCACCCTCCTGCGCTGTAAGCGCCTCTGCATAACGCTGACTTCCCTCAAGGGAACGACGTCGAGCATAATTGCAAGACGCTCCAGAATCGATCACTATCGCCCAAGGCTTATTAAAACCCTTAATTTTCGCCTCGGCGACCAACAAGCCGGACTTGTATCCACGCACCATACCCGTAGGTACGGATCTCTTTGGGGCTAAGCTCTGCCTTCTTTTGCCCTCTAAAGTTGTAACAGAACCTAGTTCTCCCCCAGTAGGGCGCCCCGCGTCTACCGGATGTCGGCATTTCCACGTGCCATGCCAGACTTCTGACTCGGGGTCGAGTGTTGGCTTGTAGCCTGGCGTTGCTTACGCAAAGGGCAACCATGCCGCAAGTGTTTAGTGCTTCCGCACGTAAAACATCGGCGTACGACGTGTTGCTGCTCAGCAGCTTGAAGCTCAGCTTCATTTTCATCTTCAGCATAGCTGAGATCCATCGGTTCCGGCCTATTATAGGCAGTGGTACCCGAAGAGTTTGCTCTCACAGAGCGAGGTTGTACCCATTCCCACCCAGTCTGGCCGGCTTGAAGTTATGCTCAGCATTAAGAGCAATTCTCACAGCCTCTTCAAAGGTAGAGGGGTGAACCCGAAAAACCTCGGGTCTGGCAATGCCAGAACTTAGACCTTCCATGAAGATAGTCACATGGACTGCCTCAGGCAGAGGGTCAGACTGCATTGCAGCCATGAGCGTTCGCAGCTCTTGGGCATAGTCCGATAGTTCATTCTTACCCTGGCGGGCAGAAAGAAAGCGTGAACGCACGCGGTAAGCCTGGTTAGGTAATGAGAACACCTGAACCAATTGTGACTTGAGCGAATCCCATGAGGGAAACGCTATGTCCACCGACGTGCTACACGTCAAGGCCCATTCTCTAGCTCTTCCATCGAGCTTCGAGATAGCCAGCGAGACCTGTTGATGGTCAAGCGTGATCAGGCCTGATCTCATGGCCATCTCAATCTCACGGATCCAGAGGATGAGGTTCTCACCCTCCTTACCGGAGTAGTTTTTCACTTCCACTCTTAGTGGACGAGGCCTAGCCTCTTCGTCTGGTACAGACACATAGCGTGTAGGCATAGCCGACGCTACTTGGTCTTGGACCTGTTCTAAAAGGGTCGCTTCATACTGCATGAAGCTTTCAACACGTGCATTAAGCACTTCAGGACCTTGTGAAACAAGGAACCCCACGTACTCTGGACCTAAAGATGCGGTCAGCTTATCAAGCGTGACCCTTTGGGCCTCAGAGAGGGGAGTGGGTTTTCCATCCTCACAGAGGATCAGTCTTAAAGACTCAGGCGTAGATTGACTACGAGTGCTACCAAGTGTTGCGGAGCTACACAGCTCCTTAAGTCAGAGGAAGACTTAACGCTCTACGAGCAACTTAGTTCTAAAGAACTAACGACTCTACGAGTCAACAAGCTTTACAGCTTCAGGTCCCTGTTCCAGGATACCTAACGACTCAGTGAATCGACAGCACTCAGTGCTCAAGAGTAGCTACCTCAAGGAGGTGTTGCTAACTCTTAGTGATCAGTGATCAACGATCAAGACGGCTCGCAAGGCACGTGTCCTTTAGATCAAAATGGGAACTGATTTTATTTAATGTTAAAACTTATAGAATATCTTAATCCTATTCAAAGATCTTTCGTACCTAATGGATGACACTCGTCAGCCCGTACAAACCGATAAGATATTCTATATCACCCTCCTAGGGGTACCATCAGGTGTGTTACACACCTGATGGTACAAAGTACCCTTTTACGTGCAACCCCGTTACAGTACCGCAGCAGTCCCATCGACAGTGACCGCAATTATAACGCTGACTTCTCAGGCATTTGACGATACAGGCGCATTCTGTCATATTGATGGGCTTGATTATGCACAAGCGTTGGCTCTGTGTGCTTTGATCGTTCGTCACCATCGCTCTTGAAGAAGCCAAGTCTGCCACTTGTTGACACGAGAATCCAGATTTCGAGTGCTACGTTCATCGTTGGTACTCCATCATCTTTATTATCGTCTGTGTGTCTTACTTGTACTGCATCTTCGAGTCTCTGCCCAGCTGGATGATTCCATTTATCGACTGGTACATAAGGCTGTTTGCACAGTAAGGCATACTAGGTATATGAACAGTTAAGACGGCACCAGAGTACTGGACATGCGAGCTACCTGGTAAGATGTGCTCAGCAGTAGCATCCGCACGAATCGACTGAAACGTTCTTTGCCCGACGACCAGTTCTTTTGCTCTGGGCTCAACACGCCGCAGCCTGATGCCACATCTGGTTCCTGGACATGGACGTCTCGATCGGTGGTAGATGCAGGTTCGATCCACGTTTGAGAAGGAACTTTTCTGCAGGTGGGCACCTCGAAGCTGGTCGGTAGTTGCGCCATTCTCCCCCTTACGAACAGAGACTGTGCCACGTGGATTGAAGTACTGAAGATATAGCCCACGGATGTAAAGGTGCGGATGTTTGAAATTTTCGACACCATCCAAAGTTTGTGTGAGGTTCGAGGAGCTGTAGTTGAGCAGCTATTGCGCGAACATTCCCACTAGCCTTCTGTATCCACGGCTTGTCCACGCGTACGAAGGTGAAGATTACAATTTCAGTTAGCGCAGGATTGCACGCTCACTGGTCCGGTCGCTACCTGGGCATACCCTGATGATGGGCACTGTTTTTGTAGCTGCGACACAGAGGTCTCGGGATGTTAGGTAAAAAGCCCCTGTTAAGAACAGCTTACTTTTACCAGCGTTAAAAGCGCTAAAAACAAGGCCACATTTTTGAGCAGATATTTTACGAACGATTATTGAAATCGGTCAAGGTTGTAATTGGGTAGTTGCGCTGCAACCACCACATTTACTGCCATTCCCCCACTCGCTACCACTTAGCCCCAACAAATAAGGAGACTTGACACGAATAAGAACCATGTCCTGCCATGTACGCAATCAGTATTGAAGGCCCACTGCTCCCGCGATAAACTTCATACGTGCCTTCTCTGTAATGCCAATAATTCCAACACATTCTTTGCGACTCGCAGCTTTCAAATACCCACCATCGGACGTCTTCGTCTTCTGGTGAGGATGTTCGATGAGAAGGTAAAAATGGCTGGGGGAAAGTCATGGTTAAGTGCAACGACTGTTCACCTCATTTGCAACTACACGAATTTTGCATGGGGGTCCTCGTTGCCCACGTCTTCCGCGTTGTACTGCTGATTATTTGTGATCTCTCTGCTAACAGCATGACACAGTCGTGCGCATACGCTCCTATTGAGGCGAACTGCAAGGCTGAGAACCTCTTCAGCAACCGGTCGGACAGTAAAAATTTGGTGTGTGCATGCCGATTTCTTTTCCTCTACATCGTGACTAGCAAATGCCTTCCGGCACGGTTGTTCCATCGCATGTGAGATTCTCACTCGGTCCGGCCGCTCGTCATAGTGAGAACCTACTTAGTGGAGCTACACAAGAATACGTGCATAACTCATAAAAGCAGAGTGAAACGATCGCAGCGGGTAAAAACATCACAAGCTGGTAACAAGTGGCAATACCGCTAAAAACGTGGTAAAAAGTGCCAATAACTGTCAGAAAGTCACGGAGCTTTTTACATCACATCCCTACAGAGGTCCGAAGGCCGTCTATCTATCCATCGTCTGAGGACGAGTAGTCTCTCCTACAACTGCAGCATCAAATGCCAGGGTCGCTTCTAATCGTTCACTACGTTCATTACACATTTTGCGCTGGACTTTCAAGCCAGTCATCCTGATCATCATCAACGGGCAGAAATGAAGTTCGTTAACCTTCGTGTGGTGTTTGTCGGTGGTACGCTACTCACCACATCCAACGGCGTCTCGGGAACCCGTGGCTCGAAATTCGCGATACCTGGCGATGCCACTCACGAGGAAGACTTACCCAGGCGACTGCTGAGGGGCCACGCGGCCATTCTGGGCAACGAAGAAGAGCGTGTTGTGGATTTCACGATGATGGGCAACACGCTAGGTACCGTTTTGGGCTTGCTGGATGAGTTTCTGGCAGCACTTGTCACGAGAAATCACGCCTTGCGGCCGTCGGTCATGGAGGTGCCCCAAGACTCCGGCGTCCTTCGAGGGTATCATGGCGTTTCCAACAGAAGACCATCTCCACTTGACGACAACGTGGTGCTGCCATCAACGGGACAAATGATGGACGAGCACTATATCGCCTTCAAGAACGAGTACGATACGTATAAAAGCAAGAACCCGTCGGCAACAATTGACGAACAGGTCAAGCATTTGCTAGGTAAAGTGTTCCAGCGTCCCGGCACGATCAATTCTGCAATATTGCTTCAACTAGCACGTGAAAAAGAAGGTGTTGACACGGCGGTCCTGGACGCCATCGAGAAGGTGCAATTCGAGAGGTTAAAAGATTTTCATCTTGACGAGCTGCGAGTGGGTTGGACGAGCCCTTTTGTTATTCCGTCCGATGATTCCCGCGTCTTAAACTTCATCAACGCCTTCCTGGGCGACCTCGAAAAGCACCGTCTCAAGGAGAAGGTAAAGAGCCTGAGCTAGAACAAGTTGTCAGTCTAGGAGTGCTTTAGCTTGTTCTAATTTGGCTTCATGCGATCCAGCGTTTCTATTTCTGATATTCGTTTTTTCTTCTGGCATGCATCCCTTGTCTCTGTAAGTTGCGGTCATTTCAATCCGCAGATCTTTCGACTCTTGCATGTCGTAGTTGTTAAAACCTTGACAAGCAGCGTAGGCTATCGTGTCGTCTATCGTGTATCCAATACAGCAATTTGGTTTTTGCAAACACGCGTTACTGATGTAGTAAAAGCGAACAAGGTCAACAACACGCAAGTGTTAATTTGACCACGTTGTCTCGTGGGCGTGTGTGTGTTTAAAGGTCTCTACCGTCAGTTGCAATGTCATACAGCGAATTTGACCTATACAAAGGAAGACGAAAACGCAGCGCTTACAATAAGTCGGACGAAGTGGCTTATTATTGGAAGCAGGTGAGAAGCACTCGAGCTTTGTTGAAACTTGTAAGCGGTTGACACACAAGAGGTATCACAGCAATAGCTATAACAAGGTAAAAAGTTGGAATAAGAGGAAGACAATGATGATAGTGACCACGACGCGGCAAGATGACCGGAACGCGGCAGCTACGACGTGGGCAGACGACGGCAGTTTGGACCTGTACCGACGTCGGCTGCATGAATTGCGGTGCGAAGTGCAAGAATCGGTGACTCAAGGCAGAAAAACGTTTTAGAATAATCCAAAGCCACTTGACGACTCTGCGGACACAGAAGGAGGGGACTTGACAAAGAGGTGGCAGGTCAATGAGAGGACGACGAAGATGAGAAGGAGGTGGAGACTGGACCGACGTGTTATTCGTCATGGGACGTGACTGAGACGGTGCCAGGGCTTTTGGTACCAACGTACATGTTGACGCAGCCGCATCCTTCAATGTGATGAGGTTTACCACAAGAAGACGTGATCGAAACGTTATGGATACTGACTGACAAGTACCTTGATGCAGACTGCATGTATTCAACAACAAGAAACGCACGAAACAAAGGCATTCGAGGTTATGAAATCCAAGCCTTTCCAAGTTTACAAACGTAAATCACTTTCGGTTGTTCGCATCAGCGTGCCATTAGACGCTTTCGATCCCATTGTGCGCAGTTCCCGCGTCAGACTCCAGCGAAGCTGTTGGATCGACTGAAAGATCAGTGCTACAGGCGGCATCATCGGCTTCTTCGATCTTAATAGCTGCAGCCGTATCGCTGTCGCTGGACGGTTGATGTGCTGGGTTCTCGTCTGTTACATGGAGATTCGAACATCGATCAGCTCCTTCACGTGTTGGGGGCTTGGTCGCACTCGGCTTGTTAGTCTTGAAGCAGCTGATGACATTTCCCATGGAAATTTGCAATCCGAAAGTGAACAACCGCATCTACTGGTGAGATGCGTACAGCCATCAGTCGAGGTCTATCGGTCAAAAGCCGGAGTACTCACTCAATCACAATGATGAATGATGTTTTTTATGACAGACAGCAATTGAAGGAAGGCATCTGCTACCCTATCGTTGTATGGCTCATGATCAACCAGGAACAGCAGGCACCATGATCTTCGTACACTGGGTATGTCAAATGACAAGTAGTTCAGTCGACTTCCGTATCTACCTCTTTTGCGTTCTGTCCGTGCTGAGCACGAATCCGTCTACGTCAATTGTCAACTTCGAGTTGAAAACAAGCAGAGTGTCATCTTCTAGCTTGGTTGCCGATGTGCCTTTGAGCCCACGCATGTGTCACCACAGCAATAAGCATGACACGACTCCGCATTGTCTAGAATCACCGTCGCTTTTCTTCGACCGACACTATAGTCCCTTCACTACACTAATCAAGATACACGTCCCACGTCTCAGCATCCTCCTTGCTTTCGAAAGATCGCCAGCCTCTCAATGAAACACGTTCGAACCCATCTGGACGATCTAAATTGACCGTACGAAACCGCAACGTTCCTTCCAGCGTTTGCGAAAGTGAACCCGGTAGCACGATCGACCCGCTCTTTTCGGCTTTGTTTGGATTTTCCGTAGAACAGTAGACCTAGACTAGCCGAATCGATGTTCATTTCCCCCAACTCCTTGTTCTTTGTATCGTCGCATCGTCGCATCTTATGTCCACCATCGAGTCTTGCAAGAGCTTTACGACCTTTGGTTTTCAAGACATTCTCTCCATCAAGTGCAGACATCCACGCACCAGATTCAGAAACAAGTGGAGAAGTACCAATACGAGAAAGAGTCTTTGACCATGCGCAACACTTCCGTCGTAGCGTCAGACGCATTCAATGACTCCTTTTTTATCGCCTATGGCCAAGAAATGTGTACAAGAAGTAAAGAGCAAGAGACACGATAAAGTTTGCAGTTATAATCGATCGATTCAAAAATGCTTCCTTCAGCTTGCACGGTTTGAACCTGGCATCAAGAACATCATGGTTTACTCGATTTTGGAAGACGACCATGGATGTTGCAGTCAAAACGACTTTATTAAGGTGTGCTAGCGCGTTTAGAAAAGAAGCTTTAGTAGCCATTACAACGCTCGAAGTCCGTCTGAATGGGGTGTAGGTACGTTTCACCCTCTTTCGTAGTATCTCTTTCGTGTTTTAACAACCTACAAATCGTGTTTGATTGTGCGTACAGGTTGGTCGTCCACTGCACCACTGCCACGTAAAATACAGATGTAAGTTACCGTCATCATCAGTATCCGAAATTGTCGAGACGTCGAATCAGATAAAATCGGAAGTGAACGATGGATTCGGTGCGAGCGAAGCACGCGGCGGAGCTGGAGGCGAAACGCAAGAAGCTGGAAGAGATTCGCATGCGCAAAGCGGCTGTTCGGGCTGCAGAGGAGAATTCAGCAGCGTCTACGAGTGTGGACCAGACCATCGGACAGCAGGAGAACAAGTTTGACGATTTTATCCAGAATATTTTGAAAACATCTGGTGACAAGGATAGCAAAATATCTAGTGCTGACAAGAGCCACGAAGAGGTCCAAGACAAGAGCCATGCGGTGAATAACACACTGTCTCTCGCCGAGAAACTGTCGTCACTATCGACTGTAAGCAACGTGGCCGAGACGCACATCCAGCCGACGCTCGTGGAGACGTACACGAAGCACACCGAGACCGATATTACGCTGGAGCACGAGATAATCGTGAAAGAGGATAATTTGACGGACATGGACGTGGACGTAAATCTTGCAGATTGTCCAGGTCACGATAGTGTGGATGACATAAAGACAGGAGCGTCTTCGCCTCACAATCGTAACAGGACGGTGGACACAAGTGATACGTCAATGACAAAGTGCTCGACGACCTTCTTGTCCGCAGATGACAAGAATATGGTGATGCAGTCGGTCAGCATGGAGACGTTTCTGAACAAAGCGTCGCGGGTGATTGAGCGTGCATTGAGCACGTCCAGCAAATTCGATATCATGGTCGACTACGGAGCGGATGTAGAGCAGGATAAAGCAGTGGAGGAGTCGACCGAGTCGCTCAAGCAGCAACACGTCTTTGTGGATAATAAGTGGTCCAGATACCGGGCAGTGACTGACGTCGATGTGTCACCGTTTTATCCGGAGCTGACTCTCGTGGCCTACACAGCACGCAATTTTCTCGAGGAGGAAGGCAAAGACGACGGCACGTCGTCTCAATGGGATACAATGGGCAAAACTGCGACATCACGGGTACCGACGGAAGTAGCGACGACTACGGAAGGTGTGGTGCTCTTGTGGTCCACGGCACTACCGAGTCGGCCGGAGTACCGGTTTACATGCCACTCACAGGTCACAAGCGCCTGCTTTAACCCGTTCGATCGTCACGTCATCATTGGAGGCACGTACTCGGGTCAGATTGTGCTGTGGGACACCCGCGCGAAGAGTGCACCGGTGCAGAAGACGGCCTTGTCGGCGTATAGCCACACCCACCCGATCTACGCCATGGCTGTCGCCGGAACGAAGACGTCGTACTCGTAAGTAAAGCAGTTGTGTTACTGTGTTGAAAGTGTGTGCACTCACCAGCAAATGTTGTAGCCTCATTTCGGCAAGCACAGATGGCCGTGTGTGCATATGGGACGTCGATCATTTGCAAAAGCCACTGGACATGCTGGACCTGCGAATCTCGCTCTCGATCGTGTCCAACTACACGTCTGTAAATGCTTCCGACAAGAAAATGGAAGCTTCCGTGACCTCTTCTGCAGTCTTGGGCAAGGAGATCAAGGAGTTGTTTATCGGTACGGAGGCAGGTAAACTGTACTCGACCAAAGTGGACCAGCAGAGAAACAAGCCTGGGGCCAGCCACGACAGCAGCAGTATGGATACCGTCATGAAAAGCCGGACCGGCCTTCTCGGTAGCAGCACCAGAGATTTCGTTCGCGAGGTTATTGTCGAGGAAGTCTCGAAAGAAGATTCTCATTTCGGTCCCGTCACAGCTATGCATTTCAACCCACTGCTGTCAACGCACCGTGACAGCCTCTTGCTCACTTGCTCGCTGGATTCAACAGTCAAGCTGTGGAGTATCGAGCACCCCGAGTCCCCAGTACTCTCGTTTGAACCTTCGAGCGAATACATAAGCGATGTCCGGTGGTCATCGGTTCATCCTGCACTGTTTGCCGTTGCTGACAGTAGTGGTGTCGTCAGTGTCTGGAACATCCTGAGGGATGTTGAGATGCCAGTAGTCTCGGAGAAAGTAAGCCAAAAGTCACTCAACAAGGTCCGATGGAGTGCTGATGGCAAAAGCGTGATCATCGGTGACGCTGACGGCAAGTCGTACATTTATGAAGTACCCTCCGATGTAAGTATTGCGACCTGGGTGAGATAGCGTGTGTCCGCCCTGTAGCTGATGTTTGTGCCATGTATGCCACTGCAGATCGCACTGCCTCAACAGGACGACCTGTCTTTGATGGAAGACAAGATCGCAATTTATGTTGCGGCAGCGGCGCCGCCTGTGAAGGCATAAGTGCGCTTCTTGTGCTTTTTACTTTTGTGGGCGCGTTGGCACGCAAGTTGGCCATCTGGCTCAACTAGGGGCGTGTGACGTGTCTATTGTTCAAACCCACCTTGATGTGCACGCGGACACGTTTCTAGGTTTCTTGGTTACCATTCCATTTCAGCAACGTGTGGAATCGCAGCGGAAACGCTTGTGATTTGTTATACTTGCAGCACCATCTCTCAAACGCCTCGCGAACTGGTAAAACCTGCATACACATTCGCGCGTTAGTAAGCTTACGAGTGTGAACAAATAGAGTGAAAAGTCGATGTGGTGGTCGCGTACCAAATGTGTTTCTTTCACGAACATTCGAATCGAGCACTCCTCAAATTTCTGCGGGCTGAACATTTCGTACGCACACTCGGGCAAGCGAAAGCATCTGGAGCTTGCCGTTGCATTTTTCGAGTAAAATCGAGCGTACTGAAGAGGATCCTCCTTCCCTTTTCCGTAGTGAACACGCATAAACTCCAGAATGACCGCATCTTTTTCGTTTATCAGTGACCGACGGGTTGAGCAATGCAGCACTTCCTCCAAGAGCATGTCCGCCGATTTCGGCTGCGAGTGAACTGTCGATGCTGTTTTGCCGACGAAGCTGTAATACGGTTTCGAGTAAATGCGATTCAATATTGACCGGGCCACATGGAGGTCAGGGCCATCGCTTTCCTGTATTTTTAGCAGCACTCGGTCATCAAAATGCTGATAAGCCTCCATTGATTGCATGATCTCTGAGATCCGCTGTCCCTTGAATAGCAAACTGTCGTTCGCGGAGACCAGTAAGTCGCAAAGCATATAGTCAATAGCACGAACTCCTCTGTGCTGGTATACAGATTGGTGAAGCTCATAGCGCGTGCGAAAAGCCTGCATGACCTGTCCTGCCAGCTTCTCGGGAAAACAAATAGCCATGTTTTTGTCCGGGTCTTCTTGATCGACGAGTACTCGCGCGTTGCGGATGAGCAAGTCCGTGTCACACGACATTTTGGCACCCGTGTGCAGGGAGTCGCGCATAAAGTAGTCGAGCTTGTCCACGTCCAGCCCAGAGTGGGCATTATTGACAATGTCGTACAGGAATCGCTGATCCCGAAACGGCCGTCCGTGTAGAACACCGTCCGACTCTGGTAACGGTCCTCCCCAAATGAGCTCTTTGATGAACAACACATCTTGCTGAGTCAAGCCATAATCCTCGACGCAGATCTTGTTCTTCCAAAGCAAAAAGTCAAACATGTCCACCGATCCTCGCTCATGCGACCACTCAAACGACGCGTCGACGAGTTTCTGCTTTCGTAGTTGGTCGAGAAACAATCCATCAAACACGTGGCTGAACGGTCCGTGGCCCAAATCATGGCACAGCCCTGCAACCTTAATGCACGTAACGTCCTGGACTGTAATTGACAGCCACGGCTGATGCGAGCGAATACTTTCAATCATCTTTTGAGCCAAATGCGCCACTCCAAGACAATGCTCGAAGCGAGAGTGCGTTGCACCAATGTACACAAAGTTGGCAGCTCCAAGTTGGTGCAAGTTGCGGAGTCGCTGGAACTGGACGACAGGAAAATAAAGAGCACATAAGACACAGACAATCAGCGAGTTAGTTCGTACATTCAGCAGCGGGTGCATCGCTCTTTGTAGCACACCACGTGCCTGCAGAGTGTCAATGATTCGCATGCAAATGGGCTCAAACGTCATGAGTCCATGGACGCTATCCTTAATCTGCACAGCAGCAACAACAGAAATCAACAAGCGTTAGTGTACACACGTAGTAATTGCGACTACTCCATAACTCCTGCCACTCCTATCACTCTGCTGTTGCACCGGCACGAATTCTTCTACAACAGTTACAACTACGCCCTCTCTCTCTCTCTCTCTCTCTCTCTCTCTCTATCTCTCTCTCGCTCTGGCTTTACCTCTTTTCTCTCGTTCAGCTTGAACGTTTCCATTGGCGTCTCTTGCGTCCGGGGCCCCCAACCCTCGCCCTCTTCCACTACGACAACGGCACTTGCTGTCTCCATCTCTGTATACACGCGCACATGTATACATACGTATACCCGCACCCCATCCGTCAGCACCCTCGACATTGTCCTCGAGCACGGCCTCGCCCAGACAGTAAACGACTTGATGTCGGTCGCTTCTCTTACCTGCTTCGTCTGCCTCATCTCTGTCCACGACCACATCGCGCAGTTTCCGTCGAGCTACAGACGTCTCCGTCTCGTCTAGCGCCCTCTGTACTTTCTGGCGCTTCTTGCATGGTTGTTGCTGCCGTCTGAACGCTGTCCAGAGCGTGTCCTGCTTCTTGCTCATGCGTTAGAGTGCGGAATGCGGAATGCGGAAGTTGCCGTCAGTGCGCACAAGTCAGAAGTTCCGTTCGTACCTAACGTGGCGAAACGACCATCACTCGCGCCCATGGTTCGTTTATTTTGGACAGCGCTTGTAGATAAAGTGCTTTTTTTGATCGTACAGAAACCGATAGTCTCGCCCTGTGGATGCATCCACTGCTGACTCTTTTTGTGTGCGTGCCTAAAATCAGTTTGTGACGTGGCGGTGACTATTTAGCTATACTTGTGGCAGCAGCGCGAGTGACACGCCGACCTTTCATGCCCCGAATAGTAATAGCACCGGTCATAAATTTGTCGCGTTTGTCGAGAAAGCAAATGTGTAAACGATGGTTGAAGGACTCATTATTACATGTTTCTTACGGTCGTATTGCGCACGGCTGCATGGAGTACGCAGGTATAGTCGCGATCGGCCCATCACATCAGAGGCTTTTTATCACCTACTTAGCCTTTGATAAAGGGTTTCGAAGCACAAGCCCGTTGAAATGTCAAGCATACCCATCCACATACGGCATCGGTCTCAATTTCTATCGTTACATTTTCTTAGAAGTAGACGGCTACGACGTAAGACACCAAAAGTCGATCAAGTTTGATGCTTGTACGGCACTAAGGCCCTCTCATTCACTATGATTGCCACGATCAATATAGCGTGCGTTGTCCACGTCCATTTTTGAAGTGACTGTTGCGACTCATGCAGATACGAGAAACAGAAGAGGCAGCAAGTGCGCTTTCTTGCAGACGAAAGGTACGCAATATCTGAACGGATACATGTAAATGGCGGACGAAAGGCCACATGACATCGGTCAGTAGAATCCTCACACGGGGAGGAACCCTTATAATGCGGACTTTAAATTAGCAGAACACAATACGAGCCACTAGTTGAGCAAGTGGATGCCAACAAGCTCGAATGCAACCGACATCCCCGTCACGCCTCTTCATGACCTACGATGAATGGTTGCAGTCATCATGCCCATCTGTCTCAGATCCAGCAATTGGTCGTGATTCTCTTTTGTAAAACGATGCAAGGTTTCCTAGAATTCGATCGAGCCGAAATTGAGCGTCCTTTCGTCACTGATCGGGGTAAAGCCAATGAGAACCGCTACGAACGGTACTGTGGCCTTCGCAGTCAACAAGATTATCAAGAGTAGCCGCTATCTTAGAATCAAGCACTTGCCTATCCTTGCATCAGCAGTAGAATGTAGTGTCAATGGAACCAAACCGTTTGTGCCAGGACTGATCGACCCCTTTTACGACGACAACAAATGTGCGCCTTCTGGACTTCGGCCGCTAATATAAAGTTCATGTGGCTTGTAAGCTAGAGAACGTAAGCGACGAACGAACGAGACTGAGCGGGACTATTTAGCCGCATCTGTGACTCAAAATGTCACATGCTTTTTGTGCATCAACAATGCAACCTTCATGACGGCCCTGTCTAAATCGAACATTCTAGTGCCTATTCGACCCAGAAAACTCCGATACAAAAGCAAATTGATTTATCATCAATCCCTGCGCAGCTGAGCCGGTCACTGAGACAGATAGTACCACTATACCGCCGTCCACCAGCATCCAATGGCGTTCGTAGTCGATGTGGTCGACACCATCCATCACGCGCTTTCGAGTCAACTCGAACAGCCCAGCTCGGGGCATTATTGTCTACTTACCATTATTGTTTTGAACTCTTTCTGATCTTTTTCTATAGTCAAGTCAAGAGCCATTGAGCTAGTAGCAAGTGGAGATGGCGACGCCCGTGAAGATCGACGGCGCTGTGCCCAAGAAAGTTTACATGCACTACGAGAGTGACAAAGACGAGACGCAGACGCTGACATTGAAGATGACGCTGCCGTCCAAGTGGGCAGGCCACACGGTGGACTACCTCAAAAACGTGCGTCGTAAAGGAGTCTGCAACGTCTCGGTCACTTTTCGGTGCTGCACAATCTACTGATGAGCATGTGACGCTGTGCTAGTTCTTCGTAGAGCACTACAATCGCAAGAAACCAGATAATGAGCTCGAGAGTGCCCACGTGCATCTCGAAAAGAAGGACAAGACGGGGCTCTACGGCGACGAGCTCCTGCATGTGGCCGTGCAGAAGTACGACGATCTGTATCTCAAAGCGGGCGCCTCGATGCTCAAACCCGTGCGGCTCCAGCGTACGTGACGTTAAGTTTATCCCGCTATAATTGTCGTGCTAGTATTGTCGTACTGTTTTTAGCGCTATTTTTGTAGGGCTATTATTATGATTATTGTTGTGATTGTTACTTATGGTAGTGTTCTCTTTGTAGACCCGTGAAGAGTATCTAATTAGTATCGTGACGGCTGTTGTTACTATTTTGCTACTTTGTTGCTATGGTTAGAGAATGAAGCAGCGGCTGCTGCTTCGGACACGAAGAAGCCGTATCTGCAGTGCAAGAACCACGGGTGCCAGAAGAAGTTTGTAGAGGAGGAGAACAGCGACGAGGCGTGCCGTTACCACAGTCTGCCACCGCTGTTCCATGACATGAAAAAGGGCTGGCAGTGCTGCTCGTCGAAAATGGTGTACGACTGGGACGATTTTGAGAAGATTGAGCCATGCCAAGTCGGCCGCCACTCGACAGTGGGGCACCAGGAGCAGTTCGCTGCGTCACCCACTGTAGCAGCAGCGGAGCGTGCAGCAACGAGGTCCGTAGACCCGGTGGGGGCAGCGCAAGCTCCAGCGCCACTCAAGTCGATTGACGACTACAATCAGAAGAACCCGAATGCGGTGACGGCTGTTTCAGCAGCCAAAGAGAGCCAGACGACGACTGCGCGGCCCAAGCGCACTGATGGTAAAGCAAAATGTGTCAATTTCGGCTGCCAGCAGGAGTACGTCGTAGCTGAAAACGACGATACGTCGTGCAACCACCACGTTGGTGCACCCGTGTTCCACGACGCCAACAAGTACTGGAGCTGCTGTCCGAAGAACGTCAAGTATGACTTTGACTCGTTCCTCAAGGTGCCTGGCTGTGCCGTGTCGGCACACACGGATATCAAGTCGGCGTAGATGGCGTAGAGAGAGCAACATCTGGCCAATGCAATATACTCACCACATTTGGTGCCACGACAAACCTCCTTACTGTTCAGCGTCACCATTGAAACATGAGTAAGCAGGAGAAGATGACAAGATGCAATTCGACCGTTCACTTCCAGGTACACGAGACTGATTTTCGATGGGTGTCGATGGGCATCTTCTCGAAGTGAAGTGAAAAGGTAAGCGCTGCAACATGCAACTCTCGGTTGTTTTCGATTGCGTCGGTCCATCAGATCCGTTATCCATACTTTCGTCAATACTGGCAAGCTCCGTATCGGATGTACTACTGACCAAACAGTAAACGACACAAACATCGTGAGAAGCACGCGAATGTAACACAGTAGGATGTGCCCATTTCTTCGGGACGATGCTAGACGGAGCAAAACTGTGGCACCAGGGACAGCTTACAATGAGCCATTCACACCTTGACGTTTTTCCATTTGTAGACCATCATGAATTACATCTCGGCGTGCTGCTTCGTGTCAGATTCTCCATCTTTCGTATCCTGTTCTTTGCTTTCTTCCTCTGAAGTACCTAGCGAGATCATAACTGACGAATGCTGCTGCTTCAGCGGTGCTAGTTTCGTTGCCTTGGCCAACTTTTTTGCTCCCAGTACAACCTCAACCGTCTTTGTCTCCTCCTTGTGTCTGCTTGCTAGCACTTGTGACTTCATGTTCACGACCGGAGGTGCTGCTTCCACCACTACTGCTGTCTCATACATCCGACTTAGTAAGTGCTGAAATTGTCGGAACTTGTTGGACACATGTGAAAGCACGAGCACCGCAAGGATCGGATACGAAACACCCCCAGCAATCACGAAATAGACACAGAGTCCAATCTGCCAACAATTTCGTCCGGTGTCGTTCTGCGAACATCGATTATACTGGTCTTGGTAGAACGTCGAGTTGATGACGAGTCGAAACACGAACAAGTACCAGACGATCACTGCTGCCAAACAACCGACACCTTGGAAAACACACAAATGGACAAGATGGGAGTCTACAATCGTGCAGTGCGTTGTCGTGATCAGATGAATGGACCAGATCACGACTACCACAGCGACTCCAGCCATGATCGACAGCAACAATTGCAACAAAGTTATGGCTGGGCCACAATACACCTCCATCACTTGGCAATATTGTCGGTGCAACTCCCCCGCTGTCTTTGCACAAAAAGACTGCTGCGTCGCGCTATCCCATAACAATAACAATAACAATAATAAACAGTAGTGGCATATCCAGAGTCCGTGAGAAATACCACGTCAACTGTCCACTTTAGTCTCCTCTTCACCCAAAAAAAATCATGGAACTACGTACCATTGGCTAGTATACGTATCCGTCCCACTCTCTTGAGGTGGAACCCATAGAGAATTGCCAGGATCAAAGGCAGGATCACCAACATGTTCCGTATAATTGAGCCACAGACCCATTCCTTGCGCGTAGTAGACGGTCTCGTTCCGCTCGCCGGACTGCGTTAGCCAATGAGGCATCAGCGTCGTGTACCATGTGAAGAACGTGAGCACCACTGCCAGTAGGACCACTTTTTATTCATTTCGAAACACAAGATGTGACATCCGGTACTGTAGTTAGAATCAGTGCAGCAGTTAAACGAAAACCAAGATGCGGTGAAAATCTGTTGCGTACCCGAAAGTTGCAGCAAGTTCTTCATGCGAGTGAAAAGGCCAAGTGTTGAGTCCTGATAAAAAGCTCGCGATGGATCGAAACTCGTCTCGATCGTGGATTTTCTGGACAAACTGACCACTTTTTGTCGCGATGAAGCGCATCCCTCTCTATTTATCAGTAAAAAAGACTGCCACTTTTGTTGAGACTTTCGGTGCTTTTACATCAGTGGGCAGTGTCGTAGTTGTAGACAAATTTAGTAGTAGAAGAGGGACCGGCGAATCGAGGTGGCTACAATAATGGCAGGTAGAGAAGTTGAACGGACAAAGGTGTCACTTTTTCGCGACAGCCTCGATACATTGGAGACGGTATCGCCTCGTTTACAGTGAATAGACCGACCCTTGAGATACGTCGTACCACCTTGCTAGCTGATGATTCTTTTGCGACAAAAGGCCGTCATAACATTCTGGAACATGTCGATGCGGCAGTAGACATGCTGCTCTCATGTCCTTGTCTGGATCCTTTACGGCTGGTAAATAAAGCGGATTCATACCAAAAAATGACGCAAACGGAGGAGCACGTTTCTTGACACTGAAGTCAAAGTCGAATCACTTGCACCAGAACAGTCCCGCACCAAGTACAAGATCTTCTTGTATCGACGTCGAGCCGGAGTCCTATGACATGGCAAAACCGTTCCAGGAACATCGACACAACTCCCGCCACAGACTGGACCTCGACACCCAATTGACAATAACCATGCTGCATCTCACCTGGCGGTGCTGCCGATGCAGAGTGGTAAACTTGCTGAAAGAAGTCTCGGGCCCTACCTGTAATCAGGATGGCACGTTTGCAGAAGGGCACCAGTGAAATACAACAAGCGCGCTATCGATGCAGCGGTTGATGCAGGAGACGAAACCAGCGTCGGTGTCATCGAGGATAGCAGCAACGTTCCGACGACTTCAACAACGCTGTCTTCTCCGCTTATCATCAGAGACGCATCCATTGCTGATCACAGGCAAGCCAAGTGGCGCGCTTTGACGACGACAAGAGGAAAAAAAAGCCTGGAAGATGATCATCGACTCATTGCATGCACCACGGACGTTCATCCAGAGTATTTCTGCATTCACTCGTTCTCGCCCAACAATACCCACATCAACAAGACAGCGAGCATTAGCATGTATCGCCCGCACCGAGAAGACTTACCTAAGCCACGATTTCTCGTGTTGATCTGGAGACTGTATAGCGTCCATTACTTCCTACTGGCGCTCGCTAGCCTTGAATACCGTGTTGCGGGAAGCGCAAAGTTTACCGAAATGACGAATGGTACGCCGGAATGCGCGTTCGCTAACCGCATTAAAGAGATCACTTTGGAACTCCAGCACCTCTTCCGGAGCTAAGAAATTGACCGCTGCGGTAGCAAACGTCCCCGCTGTGGCCTGTTCAAACCATTCGGCAATCCATTGCCGTAACTGCGACCCATCAACCTTCGCAAGTTGCATCATTACTCCTGCCGCTGATCCGTAGTCTGCGTCCACCCGCGAAGGCGATATGGCACCTAGGACGACACCCCGTAGTAAAAAGTTTACCAACATTTTGTTGCTGTTCGCGGACTCGTTGCTGTCACACGAGCACAATGAGATGAGTTTTACACCTGAGTTGCCAGACTGAGACTGCAAATATAACTGCTCCAAAAAGCATAGCATCGCCTTATTCGCGTCGTTGTGCGAGATGCCAAGTGCTGAAATTGCACACGAGAACACGCTCACCATTAGCGGTTGATTCACTTGTCGAGACAAACCCGAAGGAGATGGTACAGGAGCAGCAAGTACTTGTGGCACACATCGCACGGCACGCTCCATGAGGAAAAAGAACTCTTCCACCACATCCGGACGCGCCTCCATATCGACTAAGCGCGCGAAAATGGGCGTTGTCGTTTTAATCAACGTGAAAAGCATACGTGCAAACAGAGTGTCCATTTCCGCCGAGTTGCTGTGACAGCGGTCATGTGAAAAGAACTTCAACACAATGCTAGCGGTGTACAGGTACGACGATTTGGGCTCTGCTTGGTAAAATGCCAGCAAATTGTTGACAAGCTGTGGCAGCAAAGGCGCAATCTGCTCTCCACACGAGCGAAGTATACGCTTGTAGGAACGGCATACAAGCTCCACAAGCTCGTCATGGCCACGATACAAGGCTAGCATCTGATTAAAAAGCGGCCAAAGCTGCTCCGTGAGCATCACCAATGGGTGTTTGTCCCCACGAAGGTCCCTGATCTCGAGATTATCGTAAATACTCATGATCCGCAATAGCTCGTTCAGCGCAACATCCACATGATCCTTAGCAGACGCGGAGGCGAATAGAGCAGTAAGCCGCTGACCAATGCCTTTCATGATCTGATCGAGCACGGAAAAGATGCGCGGCATGTCTCCAGAGCCCGCGACACCAGCACATATACCCTCAAGGATTAATACTTGATCCTCAACAGCCATAACGTCATGCTGCTCGATGTGCAGATAGAAGGCTACGATATCTCCTCCTAGCATCGACCAGCAGTCCATTGCCAAAGCACGGACAGCCGCAGCAGCTGCTCGTGCAACCTTCCATTCACTGGAGAGCGTATTCCCCGCACTGTTTGTCACACAAGCGTTGAGAAACTTGACCTGAGCCGAAAGAGACGTGGGATTCGCGTGTAACCATTTCACATAGCGCGAAACAACTAGGCATGACGTGTAGCATACTGCCGGGTGGTCAGCAAAGTGCTGCAAATACTGGAATATCAGCGTAAGTGGCGCGTCTAAGGCCTGTGCGTGAGTCGCGCTCGTCTCTACTTCACGTGCGATCGACCGAAAGCAATACAGATATGCCTCCGCGGTCTCCCAACTTCTTGCTTCAGCTGGTGTCTGTAAAAGGAGCTTCAAACCACTTACACAATGCTGTAGAACTGCCTCAACACCTAGCAGCTGACAGCAGTCACACAAAATGTCGCCAAGTTCCTGTCGAAACGCCTTAAATTCGTGCTGCCTGTCGCTAGGTAGCGTAAAAAAATCTTCCCGGAACTGCAGCTTTTGCATGCACAATCCTGCCAGTCTCTCCAGTCGAGGTTTGTACTGCGCCACAAGTGCAGGCACGGCACGCCGTTGTAACTCCGCTAGTAGTCGGAACCAGAACGGAATCGTCACATCAGCCACGTCAGCATCTGGATAGCTCATACAGTCCAGCAACAAATCCACCAACGCCACATGGTCATTTCCCGCTCCATGTTGTTGCAGCAGCAGCTCAAGATAAGACTCTCCCATCTCCGTAAAAATGCGGCAAAGTCCTAGACACGAGTCCACATCTTCTGCTTCTGCTGCAGCTGCAAACATTCCTCGTAACGACAACAACCTCGGTGCCAGCCACTGCACCACGTCCTTGTCGTGCGAGCACGACTTGACCACTTCTACTGCTAAATCTACAGCTGTATCAAACAACTCGTCCCGGCCGAAAAAGCTCAATAACGAGTGTAACAGTGGGTTACGTACCACGACTTCGGAAGGGACGCGGACGTACGCAAACCAGCTCGTCAGCGCCCGCAGGACTGTCTCCTGTGTCTCCACTGCGTCGGAACATCTGCTGCTTTCCAAGGTACTGGCCTCGTGCATCAATTGAGGCAGCAATTTGTCCATCACCACAGGTGCCCAGGCATCCACTTCGTTCTGCATTCTCTGCCGAGCGCTGCGTTCGGTCAAATTGCCCACTTCTTCAGCCAGTAGCAGTAGAAACTCGGCAAGCACCAGTGGGGGTACGCCGAGTTGAACCAGATGGATCAGCGCGTACCCCACGACACTCTGTCCAGTACACTGAGCGTCACCCGCTCGAACCGCTGCGACAATTTCTTGACTTGAAGCACTAGATGCGTCTGGACGGACACAAGTGTCCAGGTCTTGCGCAGCGGGCAGACGAGGCAGCGCTGCTACAAGCGCGAGCAGCAGTTGCGTAACCACCATCTTAGGCAGTTTGACGGGATTGGATAACCAGGTTACGATTCGCTGGGTCCAGAATATCGCGTCCACATTGGCCACGGTACGGCGCAGTTTATTGGCCAATGTCTGGGCCGCAAAAAAGACCAATGGGACGCTGTCCGGGGAAAGTGTCCCATTTCGAGTCTGCGGGTTATCGAGCGCCAGTGCTTGATCCAGGAGCGACGTACAGACGACAAACGCCGCGGGCGTGAGCTGGAAACCGCGCAGAAACGTGTCAGCCGCCTGCGTCTCGTGTGGATCTGTCGCCTGGGGTTTGTACAGCGCGTCGAGCGCCTGGAGCACGGCCGTCTCCAGCTTGGTGGTGTCCGACGTCATGGGAGCGATTACGGAGAATGTGTGCACCACACGAAGTTTGGACGAAGCGAGGAGAGAGCGAGTTACGTTTTTCGACTTTTTGCTCTTAAAGTGTGGTGGTTGTTGGATACTTCCTGGGGTGGGAATAAATTACTTTCGACGTCGATCTTGTACGATGCATAATTATGCAACGGTTTAAGAATGAGAAGAGATGCCATTTAGTCGGTACCTTTTCGACCGAAATTATTCTTCAGAGGAACGTTTGACTCTTTGCAATCGTCCCCCGCCCTCTTGAGCTAACGGATAGTCCTTTACATTTACTGCATTAAGACTGACAAGATGGTTCCATCTCATCAAGCTTCGACCATCTTTTACTCATCAATTCACCATCATTATCTAGCAGAAGGTATCCGATAAAAACGGGAATCGTCAGTAGCTCCCGAATCTAGCGAGGTAAAGTGGCTAATTCTGAAAGACTATTCCTACGGAGACCAGCATCTCAATCGGACATTTACATGATCTCGCATCCCCATGTAACGCGCAAGTAAGACGTCAACGCTGTCCATTTTACGGCACATCTCACCTTCTGTTGATATGCGAGAATCAGGCACTGGCTGCAATGTAGACTCGCATAGAATCAAAAGTCTTCCAGCTGTTAAGTCTGTTTCGAATCGCTTAAGTCAAGTGCGACCAGTTTTGTCGCATTGAGTATCAAGTTATCCATGCAATTTGCTGCATAAGACCGTCTTCACGTAGATCATGTACAACAGGTAGCGATGTGTCATTCTAGGTTCGGCACAGTCAACTCCACGGAATGTATCAATCGATGCGTTGGTGAATCGTACCACATCTACCACCGCCTGGCACGCATTTTATGAACACGTCTTGCAACATAAACCAGTAAGTTTCTTTGAAGCTCGACACTTTGCAATGTAGAAGTTGTGAGTGGCGACCGTGGAAAAAGCCACACCGATCTTGTCCAACATGACACTGAAAAGGTCTCTCGATCAACGAAGGGCTTACCGATCGACAGGCTTATGACATATAAGGACGTTAGTGTAGAGAAAAATACTGTTTTGGCATGAGTCGCGTCCCAGAGAGCATCAGTATGCTGCGGCGGTGCCTTGCCGACTGGATTATTGGGCGCGTGGTTTTCTTCCTGAAAGCCGTCCGGTTTGCGCTACTGATGCCGCAGCAGTTGAATCTGTGGCTGTGCGGTCGAGCTGTGCGTGCAGTCCTTCATCCCCGTCAGCGGCTAGGGCGCCAAATAATCGTGTTTCGTCTATTCTTCGCCATTGTCACTGCAATATTGGTTGTCACGTTTACGATTGTGAAAATATCCATGAAGACTCTCCTGTGCGCCGTCCGGTTGCCTCCGGCGATGCAAAAAATGGTGTCGTCGTGTACTCCTCGCAAGCGGAAATCAAGAGCCGAGAAAAGCTGGTAATATGATCACGATGTTCCTTACGGAGGACCCTTGATTTGAATGTTGCAGTATAGGATGGTAAGTTACCTGATCCGTGACGAAGTGCTCGATGCAATTTAATTGCTATTGATCGAGAAGATACATGTCGTGACGACCATGTGCACCTATCTGGTACGCATATGCAAAGCCAGTGTTCTGACCTGTCTAATCGCCGTCTGGTCTTTTACTTGCAACAGCTTGAAGATTCTGACTACAGAGTTGACCTTCGATTTGAAAAGAAGGATTAACAAGACGCCAGGAGGCACGTTATGCGCCGGCCTTGTTGATTCGATCAGCGACCACAATGAGGAGTAAAACTCGCAAAGTTGCGGGTGGATGCTATGATCGAAAAGATATCGAAGGAATCTAAACTTCTGCGGTCTAAAGCGACGTATCCAGCAATGGTACAACCAGCTATGAGTCTACAGATATCGACTAATCCCTTTGTTTACCAATTTAAAAAAGTGGGCTACGGAAAAGAGACGGCGTTGTTGGGAGATTTTCTGAGCGTTGCAGATTATCTAAACTACGCTTGGAGTGACATGAGGAACTGGATGACTGCAGTGCCATCAGCCATATCCTTTGTCGTCTCGGTCGAAGTGTAAATTGTCCAGGATTTTCAGACAACAACGTGACCAACGATGACAAATGCTCAAACTATCAATGACGGAATAATTTCCGGTGCTGTCTTGGTGTACGCACTTTGTGCCTGATGTCGTGCAGCCCTAATTATTACGTTGTGTTGATCGGCTATAGCTTCACTGTGCATGGCAAGCAGGCGTTTTGAGTGTGGAGTGCAGCCCAGTTGAATCAAAGTTCGATCTTCATAGTCAGTCTATGTTACCGCTCCACGCGTTCGTAGGTAAAAGTTACAGATCTAGTCCGATCATTATTCCAAATCTCATCACGTGCCAGGTGGTAATTCCATACATATTTCCATACAACAAACCTTCAACCACTTTGTCGCGAGTTGAGTGGAGGAAAATCCACAAGCGATTGATCAATCGAGTAGGTCAAAAAGGTTAATCCTTTCCAGAACAATCGATCGTAGGCAGTGCGCTCGTACTCCATCGACTATGCGGTCGCTCGAAGGTTGCGGCAACCGCTGCCGCACGTTTTCCCAGGAGCTCAATTCGTATTTTGCTCGCACTTCCACAAGTCGCACATAACATGGTACGTGCGCTTTTGTCCACCCATTACCGGCACGCAATCGGTCTTGTCCTGCGTTGTGTACCCATCACCTCTCTCTGGTTCTAATGCTAGCATTCTTGTGGGTCATATAGAGCTCTCTTCGCAAACTCATTCCCTTTGGAAACCGCGTGCTGGTCCAGCGGTTCGAAGCTGCTGCCAAGACCGCGAGCGGCATTTACCTCCCGGACGCCGATTCGAAGCAGCCGAACGAGGGCAAAGTCGTGGCTGTTGGACCCGGTGCCCGTGCCCCTGATGGCGCGTTGATCCCAGCCCAGAGTGCCGTCGGGGACAAGGTGCTGCTGCCCGAGTACGGTGGCAGTTTGGTCAAGTTGGGCGACCAGGAGCTCTTTTTGTTCCGTGACGAGGACATCCTCGGAAAGCTCGAGTAGATTTGGAGACGGGACGCTCACTTGCACAGTGGTGCAAACCAACGGTAGATGGACGCTTGTAGTAGCGCGTGAGGATGGGGTGCAGGAGGTGGCGGGATAATAAAGTATGTTAGCTTGGTTCTTTGTGTTTTCTAGTAGTTTTGGTCGTGAAGAGGAGACAGGAAGACAGTGGTGATAAGTGGAAGGGTTGAACCTTACGTGCTTGAAGGATTGGTTGGTCGAAGGCACACACGAGAGACTTGTACCACATGGATACAGTCAGGTCTTGAAGAGGGTGATACGTGTGTAGCCAGATTGTGGATGAAATTGATGTGGTTGAATTCGGTGCGGTCGAGAGCTTATGGTGAAAAGACTGTTTACGACTTCTGTTATGATGCAGACTATTCGCGACTCGTGTTGCTTTTGGTCTTCTACGATCACGCAATAAAAAGGTATCGCACCAGGTGGTTAGTCTAATGCTGTGATTCTATGGTGTTTTAGCAGCACAATTACAGGTGGCGCACTTAGTTGACGTTATCGGCCCACTGTGGGTCTCTACAATGCATGCATAATGTAGCCCGTCTTATCCTGTATACAAAAAGTCTTGTGCATCCTAGTAAGCCTTTTATGGATAAATTACATTTCAAACACACTCATCGATGCACCTGCAGTATCATTACTGCTGGTCAAAGTTCCGAGAACTCAGCTATTCATCACGTTAGCAGTCAATAGATACTTCAGATGCAACAGCCTCTAGAAACCAAAGCGACGAGGGCGAGGGGGACGACTAACCATCTTTTTGGAACTGCCAGAATCTGATTGACCCATCTCCGCAACTGCCATCCGCTGCTTCTTGTGTTGACGACTCTTCAATGCAAGCCGCTTATCCAAACCATTCTCAGCTTCTCTCTCTTTAGCGCAAAGTGAGGCTTCCATCTCTTGTTCCATCCCAATCACTTCCTCCTTTTCCTTCATACGCTTCAGCAAGCGCGACTTGAACGACTCTTTCACACTGAAAAACATGGGTCCGAGCTCGGCAAGCCACTCCCCTTCCACAGCTGTTGCACATTGCATGTACTCCTTGCTCGTGTAAATCAATTCGTGGTAAACCACAAAGTCTGGCGTGTAGCCAAGACCAAATAACGCAGCACTTGGGTGGAGGTTGCACGGCATGCCCGTCAGCATATTCACATACTCGCCAATGCCTTTGATTTGAGCAGAATTGTAGAAATAGGCCGAGCAAATTGCCTTTCGTACGACATCCCAGCGTCCACCGCATGAACGAAGCCGCACGCGCTGCTGTTTCATGATATCGGCAAGCTGCTCGTGCACCTCTCGAGCCTTGCGCAACCCCTTTGCATGGATGAAATGGTCAGAGCACCATTGGGCCGAGCGATGGTTCGATTCCCACTGCTGGTACACATTCAGCAGTGTTAAGTGGTCACTCTCAGGCACAAAAAACTTTTCTCGGGCAGCGTCGCTCTCTTCTTCACGATCCTTGGGACGAAAAAAGACGCTTGGGACGGACAGCATACTCACCACCACGAGCACCTCGGTCGAACAGTTTAACTGCTCACTAAACAACAGCATCTTAGCCAGCGGTGGATCCAGTGGAAAGACAACCATTTTCTTGCCCATCTTCGTGAGCTCACCAGTGTTATCGAGTGCCCCAAGCACCCATAATTGATACATTGAGTTGATGATATTGTCCTGTGGTGGAGGATCCATGAAATCAAACTCAAGCAAGTTCGTGACGCCAAGTGACTTGAGCAGCAACACGACATAACCCAAATTTGTCCGCTGGATTTCCGGAATCTGCGCTTCCAGCAGCTCATTGACAAACTGACGCTCTGTGTACAAGCGATACGCGACGCCGGGGCCTGTTCGACCAGCACGACCTGCGCGCTGGTTGGCATTTTGCTGACTGATAGGAGTCACCTGCAACGCATCCATACCGATCTTGGGATTGTAAACCTTAACCTTGCAAAAGCCTGCATCAATGACATACTTAATGCCGTCCACAGTAAGTGACGTTTCAGCAATGTTGGTAGATACGATGCACTTTCGAACGTCCGAGGCGTCAAAAATCTTTGCTTGCAAGTCTGTAGGCAGTTGAGAATACATAGGGAGAACCAAGAGTGGTGGTGCGCCATCGAGCTTACCCATCCGATCTGCCAGCACGTAGCACGTAGCCTCGATGTCCTCTTGTCCCGTCATGAAGACCAAGACATCACCAGGCGGGTGAGACAAATGAATCTGCATTACTTGCTTCACTGCCGCGTCCACGTAATCATCACTAGGTGATTTAGCATAGCGGGTATCCACGTGGAATGTTCGGCCTGGAATGGTGAACATTGGTACTCCACCAAAGAAACGAGCAAACTTTTCGGCATCTAGCGTGGCCGACGTCACAACAAGCTTGAAGTCACTGCGACGCTGGACCACCTTGCGAAGGATACCGAACAGTACGTCCGTGTTGAGAGCGCGCTCGTGAGCCTCGTCCATGATCACGCACGAGTACGAATCCAGATCAGCCTCACGCAGCGACTCGCGCAAGAGTACACCTTCTGTCATATACTTGATAATAGTTTTGTCCGACGTGAGATCCTCGAATCGAATAGCATAGCCCACCTCTTCGCCCAGCTTAATCTCCATTTCTTCGCTAACGCGCTGTGCTACTGACATGGCTGCCACGCGACGCGGTTGCGTGCAGCCAATCGTACCAAACTGCGAATACCCTTCTTCATGCAAGTATTGCGTAAGTTGTGTGGTCTTGCCCGAACCCGTTTCGCCAACAATCACTACAATCTGGTTCTCTCGTATTACTTGCAGCAATTCTTCACGACACTGAAAGATTGGCAGGAATTCACGCTGCTGACGAAGTGTGCGGGTCTTGGCAAAAACGCTTACAGCCTTTTGCTTCTTCAAATGCGTCGAAAACTGGGAGTTGTGTTTGTAATTCTCATCATCCGCCTCTCGCTGCTTATCTTCTTCGTCTCCAGATCCAGGATCCGCCTTCACACCAATAACGTCACCCATGCGCGAGCCACCAATTTCCCAGAATCGTTTCCGCATCTTGTTCCTTTCACGTTGTTCCCGTACTTCTAGCAGCAGCTCACTGCCTTTCCTGGCGCACACTGCCATGTCCGACGTCGGGTCCTTAACAGTTGCAACTACCTCCACCTGTGTCGTAAACGCCACTCGACCATCCAAGAACGGTGGCTTCGTACTGTGCACCATGATCTGCACTCTCGAGTCCAACTCATCGTCAAAATCTGTATCCACACGTCCAGACAAAACGACGCCGCTCGTTAACAATCTGTTCTTCTCCCACGCTTCTTGATCTACTGAAAGCGCTGACGCTCTCGCCGACATGCCTTTGAGCTTATTATCGCCTCTAGCTCTAGTTTGCTCCAACTGCTCTTCCAAAGCCTTGAACTTCTTCTCACTTCCAAGAAACGCATGTCCTTCATGCAACTCCATACCGCCAGCATCGTCATTCAAGTAGAACTCCCGATCGAAATCCTCCTCCACTATGTCTTCGTATTCTTTCTTAGGAGCTTCCACGCTCTCTCCTCGCTGTCGACCACTCAGTCGAGTCGGCGACACCAAATCACTTGAGTCTCTCCACGTGCTCGTACTGCTACTTCTGCTCCTGCTACTTCTCGCTTCCTCCTCCTGTGTCTCACGTTCATCCTCTCTCTCTTCTCTTCTCTGAGTCGACGTAGATCTACTGGACCTGCTATCGTCCCGTGTTTTGGGCGTCTCAGATTTCTCTCTGTCCTCCTGGTACATCGACACACTCTCCAACTGTTCAGGCTCATCCCAGTCACTTAGTACCAAGCCAGTAGCGCTTTTATGCCGAGTCAATTGAGACTTTTGGCTCATGTCTTCACGCTCAACTCGACTCGGAGCGAGCTTGGAGCTCTTCGAGCGGCCGTTTTCACGCTCTTGACGCTTCTCCGCTGCGAGTTTATCAAGACCTAATTGAGACACGCCAAGAATACGGACAGGGCTTCCCCTAGCACGAGAACAAGACGCAAAGAGACGTTCGGGACTGCGACGGGAGCTCCTGCTTTGACAAGAGCTCCTGGACGATCGACTTGTGCTACGATTGCGGTGAGAGCGCGATCGCGTTCTGCTGGAGCTGCGGCTTTGTCTGCGATGTGCAGAAGGCGAGCGACGACGGTCGTGAGAGCGAGAGGTCCGGCGCCGCGCAGCGTCTCGGCAGCGAGCCATACTCGATGGAGCGAGACCTAATTCGAAATACGTTTCTAACCCGCGTTTCTAACGGTGAAAACACGCATGGGCGATTCGGTGCACCCAGTTCTTTATAGCAGTTATAGCGAGCACGAATGTTACAAACATGCAGCGAAGAGCTCATTTTGCGTGAAAAGCTCATCCATAATGATGAACAACGACTTGTTGAAAATACAGGATACTAGTGGACTACGACTTGGAAGCACCCGAGTTCGACGACTTTAGTGTCCATCGACGACCACGACACACGGCCAGATCACGTAAGACATGTCGAAAAACAAGCTTGTCCTTTGGTCCAACAACGTTGCCGAAAGCCTCCAAAAGACGTTCAGTTGTCACGCCTGTCACCGCATTCGCAGCAAGAAAAGCGTGCAAACGCTTCGCCATCTCACTTGCACCAATGGATGCAGAGCTACCAGGAGACTGCGAGGTACCGGATGCTTCAGAATGGGATTGAAGTGGGACTGGCATCGGCTGAGTCGCAACACCATCGCGTCTTTGTTTGATCCTTGCAAGCATCTCGTGCGACGAGATCCCGTTACCACGACCTCCTCGACCACGGCCTTGACCTCCTCGACCACGGCCTTGACCTGCTCGACCTTGTAGTTTACCGCAAGACCGAACAGCTGGTTGCTGACGCCGTTGAGATGGATCACCAGCAGCACCTGATCGACCTGTCCACGTTGGTGTATACACAGTCTCCCGCTGCTGCCGCACAAGAGCGCCGGATGCTCGAAGTGCACTTAGCGCTCCTTGAGCAATCTTTGTCGCCTCCATCTCCACGAGATCTGCTTCTTGGTTCTGCACGCCATCAGATTCAACCGCCGAGTGATCAAACACGCCGCGGACGTCGCCCCCGTCGAACAATTGTTTCAGCACGACTTCGTTGTCACCAGCATCCGTGTCAACTTTGTCGTCACTTGTTTGTTCGCCTTCGCCTATACCATCATCCGCTTCGGTAGGTCGCACGACGTTACCAGCAACAAACATTTCGTTTGTTTCTGCAACTCCATCCTCTTCTTCTTTTTCGTCTCCAAGCACAAACAGTTCTCGCAACGAGTGCTTATTAAAGCAGCGTTTACGCTTAGCATCGTGCAACACCTTGCTAGTGAGATACTGCTTGAATATCTGTCGGTGATAGATCTTCTCTTCAATCGTTCCAGCGGTAACGAGTCTGAACACAGTCACGGGTTTCTGCTGCCCGATGCGCCAAGCACGTTCGCGAGCTTGGACGTCCGTTGACGGGTTCCAATCAGGATCGAACACTACAACACGATCGGCGCCGACTAAGTTTACACCAATACCACCAGCGCGAGTCGTCAATAGGAACGCAAATAGTTTGCTGTCGGAAGCGTTGAAAGCGTCGAGACGCTGTTGTCGCTCTTGCACACCCGTTGTACCATCAAGACGAGTGTATGTAAGGCTGAGCCTTGCCATAAAGCTTTCTAAGATGTCCAGCATACAGCGCGTTTGAGAAAAGATTAGCACCCGGTGGCCCTGCGCCTTCCACATTAATAACACCTTCTGTAGAACAACCATTTTTCCGCTAGCCGATGCAGCACCAAACGGTTCGTCGCTTTCGTCTTCTTCTTTGTCTCCATCCGTTTCGATGAACGACACATCAATGCTAGCAAATTCATCGTCGTCATCGTCCTCAAAAGTTTGCCGTCTTTTGTCAGCCAGTTTTCCGTCGCCAAACGATGCCAGCAAGTCTGGGTGGTTGCAGATGTGTCGCAGCACAGATATGGCTCGAAACGGTCGAATGTCTCGGCGCAACACCTTTGCGACTTCTGAAGAGGCCAGGAAACGCTTGTACAGTGCACGCTGTCGCGCTGTAAGCCGGCAAAATATTATCTGCTCTTGTTTCTTGGGAAGTAATGCACACGTTCCATTGCCAGCATCATTAGTTAGAATCTCTTGCTTCGTGCGACGGAGTAGAAACGGCCGAATGAGGTCTTTCAAGGCCAGTGCACACTTGTACGCCATCAACACCTGCATCTTAGTTGCTGTCGCGTATCCTCCCGCTCGAATAGGCAGCACAAACTCGTCGTCAAACGTTGGTAATGTACCCAAGCGTCCGGGATAGACGAAGTCAAACAGTGACCAAAGCTCCCGAAGCCGATTCTGAATCGGTGTACCGGAGAGAATAATGCGATGGATCGTGCGCAACTGTTTGCAAGCAAGCGTCGTTTCAGCATCTGGATTGCGAATACGGTGTCCTTCGTCCAGCACGACATAATCCCATTCGCGCGTAAGAAACAAGCTCTGATACTGTCGCACATTTTCGTACGTGCTAATGACCACACCACCGCCTGTTGGTGCATGCTCTCCCATTTCGTCCACTTCACCATCCGACTCGCCATTTTTATAGCAAAACGTTTCTTCGATCAGCCGCTCGTAACACTCACTCGAAAATGACGTATTGACACCTGTCCCTGATGCGTGAAGCAGCACGACACGCATCCAAGGCGTCCATTTGTGCAACTCCCGAACCCACTGCAGCAACACTGAGGCTGGACACAACAGCAATACTGTCCGTAGCCTTCGGGCACGATGCAACGATCCCACAAATGACGCTAGCTGCACGGTTTTCCCGAGTCCCATATCATCCCCCACGATCCCGCCAACTCCTCGTTCGTGCAATTTGTGCAGCCACTCGAGACACTCGCGTTGGTGCGGGAGCAGCTGCGCCAGCACGTAACTTGGTACCAGAAGCCCTGACGCCGTCTCAGTAACGTCCCATGGCGAATAATACGTCGGTCCAGCCTCCACCTTCTTCTCATCTTCGTCGTCCTCTCGCTGACCTTTCACGTCCTTGTTTAGTCCTCCTCCTTCTGTGTCCACAGAGTCGACAAGTGGCTCTGGATTATTATAAAACGTTTTTCTACCTTGAGTCACCGATTCTTGCAATTCGCGCCGCATCTCATGCAGCCGACGTCGGTACAGATCCCAACTGCCGTCGTCTGCCCACGTCGTCGCTGCCGCGTTCCGGTCACCTCGCCGCGTCGTGGTCGTCACCATCATGGTCTTCCTCGTATCCCCATTTTCTTCCTCCTCCTTGTAGCTATTGCTGCTACACCTCTTCTGGATCAACCGCTTGCAAGTTTTGGCAAAGCTCGCGTGCTTTTCAGCTGCTCCGTCTGCCTCGTCGTCTGCACCTTGTCGAGTACGTGCACGAGCGTCTCCTCGCGTCAAGCGCCGACGTTTTATCGGCATCTCTTGCTGATTGTGCTGGTTGAAATGGGAGTGTTTGACGCGCCTCGCAGCTGAGGAATGGTCAGAAGAGTCGTCGGAACTCGAATGAGGAGAAAACGCGCTGGCGTCGGAAGCGACGGACGCGGCTTCAGAGGACCAAGGAGACGGAGGAGTGGCATGAATGGATAGAGGAGACGAAGACGCAGGTGGTGGATGTCGTAGCGTCGAGTTTGCTGCCCTACTTGCGTCAGTAGAAGACGGAGGAGACATCGCGTCGGTGCGATAGTGCTAAGCCGAGGACAGCGTGGACTATCGGTTTGCAGCGGTCATTCTGATGATCTTATTGGCTACTTGAGTGTATCAATACATTCCAAGTGCCGTCACCCTGTAACAACTTATTGGGTTCAGCCACTATGTCCGTCCCACTTTTAAAGTGGCGTTTTCGTTTCCTATTATACGCAGTGCTGTCTCAGATACGTTATGCGCGATCAAGATTCAGCTACTCTCGTTGCCATAGCACAGTTCTGCTTAGTCAGTTACGTCAATAATGCCGGGCATATTCACTTCAACTTACTTTGCGCTCCTTACGAATTTTAAGCATAAAGAATCGATGATGATGACCCTGAGCATTCAACAAACATTCTTTGGTACTTGAAATTCGTATGCCCGGTGTGGTCGTATACTTTTTACCAGGCACAAAAACTTTTTTTTGCATGCGAGCTATGTGACCGATTCATATTTTTGGGGGGTTTGACTCTGCAAAGGTGTTTATTGAAGCTTTGCGCATATCATACTCGGACGACAGCGTCCAACTCGCATTAGTTTTGGAGGTATGAGCACCAATGTAGGTGGCCGTATCATTATGACCTGGAGTGTAATTCAGCTCATAGAACTGAATTAAGTTGAAAAAGACTGTACAATAGCAGTCACTGCATGATGAGTGTGATGCTGTTCATGTCTGTATTCATCCAGTGTAGTTGGCTACATTTGAGGTGAAAAGGGATCGATCGGACTTCATCCGAACGAAGTATGATGGTCATCTCTGGACCTTTAAGACTCAAAAATTGGAATGAAAACCAAGAACCATGAGGCAACAAAAAGGAAGTCTTTGCAAAATTTTCGGTACGGATGGTATTGCAGACATCGGTGTCTGGCACAAGTGTCTTGGACAAATATGTCATGAGTACATTAGGCTTAGGTTGATCGAGGGCTGGCAAAGGCATCATGCTCAAGCAACGTGGTAACATCAAGTGTACAAACTGTCACTTTGGAAAGCAAAGACGGAGACGTTCGCAAAGCTATCGAGAGAAAGATCAAGCAAGTCAACGAGATGATATTTGCTGATCTACTCTTTCCAAGGTTCCATAATGGATCACCGTTCTCCACAGTTTTGGTAATTATTTATGGATCCTCGCGCTACGTGAGGACGTACATCTTATAATCAAAGACCGTAAGTGAAGTAAATGGTCACTTGGATAGTTACATTTACCAGACGAAACGTTAACATGACACGGATTCAAGACATTCATGAGACATCTTTTGACTAGAGAAAAATAAGAATTCTAAAACGGTTATATGGAGACATGGTATGCTACCCATGGTATCGCTCATACTAAAGTAGGACCACATGCTTCGCAGCTTAAATTAGTCTAGCGGACACACCAAGGTTGATTGGAATAGTCAAAACAACGATGACTCAGCATGGACTTTCAAATTCCTTTCGGGTATGCGCAATAAAAATTGCTGCATACAGCAGGAATCGTGTCTACTATAAAGGTGCAGGTCGCAATCCGTACGAAAGTATGTTCTACTGTGAACCAGACATACATCATGTGAGAGCATTTGGATCTCTTTGCTACTTCCATGTTCCAGTATCGAAAAGGAAGAAGTTGGATATAAATTACAAGATTAGATTCCTTCTAAAGTACCGCGAAGACGTTGCGGGATGTCATGTGTACTTTCCGACTGAACACAAGAAGGATCGCTTTTCAGACGTGAAAAATATTGAGTCCATTACGTACTAAGATCGATAAGTCTACGTACGCATCAAGAGGGATAACTGGCTGCGGCCGTTCAGTGAATCCATCGAGGCGAACGAAAGTGATGTTAGTAACAGTGATGCGATTGCTGTGGACGAACACGATAAATCCTCACATGAAACCGAAACCACCACAGTTGCATATATTTTTGAAACGAAAGCATCGATATGATCTCACAGCGAGCTGAGTGTGAAGACACGACGGAGCCGTGTGGATGGAGAGACATTAACAGTGATGGCAATACCCCACCACAACAGGATGAATTGTGGAAAATCGACGTATTAACAGCAGATGATTGTCCTCCTGATGATCTGGACGAATTAGCTGTAAGCGATGATCACCACAGGGCAGAAGGAGAAAAAAAACATTGTCTAACTACCCGACTACACGTGACGTCCAAACGGTGGAGAATTCACAAGATGAACTAGTTGAAGAAGATAAGAAGTCTGGGATGAGATGTTGCAGTAACATTTAAATGCCTGCACTTCACCGGAATGGAGATAATATGGCTGCCAGCAAATCTGATACACAAGACATTTTACATGCTTCTATCCTAGAATGAAGTTAGCGCGACGAGGTGAAAATCTATAAATCATAACAGAGCAAGAACCAGGTCTGTCTAGCAGAGTACTGATCCCTTCAGTTCCACAGCTACTAAAAGGTGAATAAGTTGTTTGTAAGTATTTATCGTTGTGTGATTTCTTTTTGTCGTTGTAACTGCTGGATGAGCTGATATTTGCTTTCTCTTCGTGTGCCAGCTATGGTCTTTTCTGTATAGACGAAAATTGAGTACTATACCGGTGCACTAGCGCTTTCAGTTTTCAATGGACCTAATTAAGGCTTGATGATTACGTACTCGATTTACGCAGCCACGAGAAATGGTTGGACTGACAGTGGGGACGCAGCCAAAAACGTCAGCTTTCCACAGCTGAAAAACAATCACATCTTCGTCTTGTTCATGGTCACCTGTGCACCGTGCATTCTTTTTCAGTGGCACGTTGATTTGTTCTTGTGTCGAAGCGACTAAGGTTACACTCAATAGTTCAAACACGTTAAATTTCAACAAGCTTAATGCATTAAATAGTGCCATTCTATGCTTGTACATTTTGTAAAAAAAAATGATTGCGTAATAATGAGCAAACGTATCGGCTGCTATCAGAAAACTACTCACAATCGCATGCTATTTACTTACCTGGAACGAAATCGCAATTAACTCTGTACCTCATCAGACCAGCACAGCGTACCAGGGTTCTATACCATGACAGAATCGTCTTAAGCGAACCGTGTCACGTTTTGGTCAAACTTTAAAAGCGTGTTACCTTACGAAAAATTCCCTAAAAAATGCCCCACATTCTCGAGCACTCGATTTCACGTGTTGCACTTTAAAATGCATACCTTATACCATTTATCACTTTTCCATTTTATGGCCTTGCTGAAACCTCCGCCCTGCAGGAGTTATCGCATAGGGTTCTGCCGCGAGCGTGCTGCGTACACTGGTTGCGGGTGCAGACGGCACAGGGAAGATATAAACGCGTTGACATATCATCAGCCGCGGCTGTTAATTCAGACATCGGCACTGATTTTGTTTTAGATGATTGTATTGTTTCTGTTATCATTTTTCATCACTTTTAATAAATATATTGATTTTCTGATGTTTTGTTTGACGTAACTACAAAATGTGTAGCTGCTGCTGTTTTATTTCTACTATTGCTGGTGTCGTTGTTGCTGCAACCATTGCGGCTGCACCGGTTGTTGTTCGGATATAATTAATTTGCACTTTCCTGCTGCTTTTGATACCGCTGCTGGTAAATTTGGTGTTGGTGCTGCTGATGTCGTTGTAATTGGTACTGATGTTAGCGTTCGTGAATCTACTACTGATTTGTAAAGTTGTTTGTACTATGGTGCTGCTGTTGTAGTTGATTTCAGTTGAGAGATAGGAACACATTTTCTTATCGTACTCTATAGTTACTTGAGCTTTGTTACATACATATTGTACTATGAAAAATCCATTCTTCCTTTAGCATTCCTTATCATCGATTTGAAAAGGCTTTTTAGTGCTGATGGCGACAATTCAGTGCTGAAGCAGGAGTTAGCCAGTGCTGGTAACGGTTATTACAACTCCAAGGACAACACTATGTACGCGGAGAGCTTAAGAGGGAATGACAACACGCACAAGACATTCGATTCGGTCGACCAAGTGTAAACACACTACAACATACACATCATGGCATGTATAAATGAATGTGCTCTTTATACAATACATACTTTAACAAAAAATTTATGGAACTCTACCCGCTAGCGCTTGGCATGCGACCCTCTAACGGTAATATATGGTGCCACGCAACCTGCTGCGTTGTTTTATGTGCTAATAACTACTTTTCGTATGCTTACACTGTATATTGGTAGTGATTAGTGGTGCTTCTAAATGTTAGGGACCTAAACACCCGCTAAATATAATCTAAGTGTTTCTACGGCACCTATTTTGATCCGTTTTCCATGTTAAATATAGGCATTGATATCATGTACATAAATTCGCGAGCGTAGCGTATGACAACTTTTTCACGGTGAACATACGCGTGATCGTAGTCAAACGCTCACCTGTTCTAGAAAGTCAGAAGTATCAGCGCTTAGTGTATGAAGTGTATTTATAGTTGGTTAAGCCAGGCCTAAAATTTTACGGATTTCCGTAAACGGAGTAAACAAGAGAACACGAGAACGTGAGGCATTTTTCTATTTGTCATTACCTGAGGAATTTTTTTGATTATCCGGGGCAATATTTTAGTTGTCTAATTATCTGGGGGATTTTTCGCACTAAATAAAGATTTTCTTTTGGCCGCGACTAGGAGGACAACCCACTTTTGCTATGGGGACACCTACCCGTCTACTATAAAATTAACGACTAATAGTAATGAGCAGCTTTATCTTTAGTCAGTTAGATTTTCCATTACGGTGATGTCCAACATTCTCAAATTCACCGCTGTAGATCGCGCCAAGCTGAGGATGTAAACACAGGGGTGCCAGAAACAAGCTTTCATCCGCTGCAGGTGCCAAAATCCGATATTAACTAGGAATTTGACACCCAAAAGGAGCAGGAGAGATTAGAGATATGGGGAACAGTGAGAATAAAATACTAGATACGAAGGATTTTTGTAACGGTCCGTCGGTTTGTACTTGAAGTGCGGATGCAAACGTGGAAGAGTGCTTTGAGCTGGACATTTCTTCAATGTTTTG